AATTTTCCAATATTATAGCCATTCTCCATTACTTGTTGTTTGTTCACAAAACGCTATTCACCCAAAGTACTCTCAGACACACATAACCACATAGCAGTAAAAAGTTTTGCGTAAACCTTAGCAAACTCTGCCATAAAACTGCAGGCAAAAGTTGTTTTTCCGTTAGGAATATCGTTATTTCCTTTTCTTTAGATGTCCACTCGCCCATACATAAGTATGTATGTATGAATGTGTGTGCGGCTTGCCACGTTCTTAGCGCGTTTTAAGATAGTTTCTTTTTTCATTCAAAAAGTTAAATAAAAGTTTTCATTCCCTATTTCATTTGCCTTTATAATGTTTTTGACTTCTTCGATTTTCTCATGCGAAGTTATAGTCAGCAGGGTAATCGGCTTCACCCTCGCTTTTAGTGCTTTTTACAACTTTGCAAGAGAGTTCCCCCGAAACGGGAATGAAGTGTTATGAAATGCAGTATAACTGAAATAGCAATCAAACATTATAGATACACTAGCCAATGCCCGCTTGCTTCGCGGGGCGCCTAATAAGAACTTTTGCAAGTGCCAATGCGAACAAAGCCTTTACGAGAAAGAAACGGTCTGTTTAGTTAAAAAAACTAAAGAGCAGAATCCCTTCAAAAAACAGTAGCGCTTTGATGTAGTATGGCATCCCTTTCGATGTGATGAGCTTTGCCGGCGATCTTATTTCCACCTGTGAGATGTGTGCCAAGCGTGCATAATCTTCTTTGATCTTGCAACTACAACATTGGTCCGATTCGTAGGCGAATAAAAGTCCTTCTAACTAAACCTAAGATTACATTTTCTATTATAGGAATAGGCCAAGAATCCTCTCTGCCCCCAGGATGAAAAGTGTTCCCGTACATTGGCTAAATAAGTGGTGTTATCTCTTGAATATCATTCAAATGAAGCCATTGATATACCAGCCGTATTCCTACTTAGACGGATATGGTCGAATTTTTGCTTTGAATTCCCCACTTTTACAATTCGTCTTAATATTTATGAACTGGTTTCGAGCAATTTCGTTAATCGGAGGTAAATGCACGATCGCATTAAAGGTGTATGAGAGCGTCAGACAAGGGTGCGCTTAAAAAATTTCATTTAGCCATCGGAAAAGTAAAGTCGTATAAAATCAACATAGGGCCAAAGCAGACCAAACACATGGCGCATCTATAAATTACGGCTGCAGTGTCACCCTTGAGTCCCTGTTCTGCAAAACCATTGCTTATCATGAAATGAGTACGCATTATAAATTTCAGCCAGGTTGTATAAAAACTACGGATTTTATAAATACATATCTCGACTCAAGCGCCACCCAGCGAGTCCATTTTTAACCGACTTCCAAAAAAGGAGGAGGTTATCAGTTCGTCGGAATATTTTTATTTTATTTTTATTTTTTTATTTTATTTTTTTTTATGTATGTTACCGCATAACTTTGGACCACGTCAACCGATTTCGACAATTCTTTTTGCACCGGAAAGTTTGTGTCTCAGAGGTGGTTCCATACTAATCTGGTTAAGATCTGATAGGTGGATCATGAGATATATATATATATATATGAGAGTTGAAGTTTTGGAAAAGAAAATTTTTTTGCGTGAAAATTTTGAAGAATTTTTTTAAATTTTACACAAAGTTTGAATTTTTAATTTTTATAAGTTTATCTACTAGATAGGGTAATCTATAACGAAACTTATAAAAATTAAAAATTCAAACTTTGTGTAAAATTTAAAAAAATTCTTCAAAATTTTCACGCAAAAAAATTATCTTTTCCAAAAATTAAAGGGAAAGTAACAATCGCTCAATGCGATTTCGAAATCTAGGAGGAAATGGTTCCCAGCCGAATAATGCTTGGCTATCTATGTATAAGTATATAGATGCAGCAATTCCAATAACTACCACTTTTAGCCGTAACTTGCTGTCTCCATTAGCGATTGTTCATCTGGTGCGATTGATCTCCGGCGATGAATCGCTTGTTTAGACCGCTAATCGCAAGGATGAACTGGTAAATAGTTAGTTTCGCAGCTTGATTTCACTTTAAATTTTGATGAAGTTGTGTTTTTTCTATAATGTATGTATATGCTCAAAACCACTCGAAGTAAGCCATTTTTGCTAACACAAAAATTTTCGTCATGTATCGTAAGCACCTTTTGATATGAAATCTTCTGCCATGACATGCCTAAGTACCAAAATTTCTCTGCGATGAGCATTTCGCTTACGATGAAACTGACAGCAAACGACAGTGTTGTACTCCTGCAGGAAATGTATCTAACTATAAGCTAACTTCAAGTTGATTAGGAAGGAGCTAAAAGTCACTTATTATCTGTATATTTTCTTTGACGAAAGCTAACTATATTTGTATGGCGATGGCCGCGAAATAGTCAAGGGTGGTTTACCTCTGCATTAGATGTAGTCAAGGGTGGTTACCTCTGTATTTGATATAACTAACTTGTAACTAGCTACTTTTGGACATAAAATATCAATAGGAAAAACAAAATATTTTTTTTTAATTTTATTTTTTATTTTTATTTACTTTGTTTATTTTATAACATTTCATATTAGTTTCCATATTCTGCTGTATGTGGCCCCATATTCGAACTCCGTCAGACATAACTTCAAAATGATAATATGNTATTTGATATAACTAACTTGTAACTAGCTACTTTTGGACATAAAATATCAATAGGAAAAACAAAATATTTTTTTTTAATTTTATTTTTTATTTTTATTTACTTTGTTTATTTTATAACATTTCATATTAGTTTCCATATTCTGCTGTATGTGGCCCCATATTCGAACTCCGTCAGACATAACTTCAAAATGATAATATGAAATTTCGATCTTCCTTTTATTTGTCCTCAATCCGAAAAGTATTTGCTAAGTGCAAGATATTTAAATAGAAACGCGTTTAAAGAAAACAATCTCGAGCTTTACTCCTGCATTACTTGTCCACTTGTTTCAAGTTAGCTTTTTGTAGCTAACTACAGGTTATATATTTTACAGAAATCCCGCAAAAAAGCTAACTACAAGTAGATTATTTTTTATCAATTGATAATTTTTTCCTACAGGGACTTATCCGTTTATTCTACGATTTACCGATAACGACAAGTCTGCAGAGCTCCATTGAAATGCATGTGCTCGGCTCGAAATTTCAGGGTGAGACGATAACGGTATTATTGGACGACAAGTGTGCAGATGTGCCTAACGGACTTCCTGTGGCTCAGAAAACCTTTTGTCAAACAGTTGTCATTAGTCATCTTTCGATTAGTCGATTGCTCTCTTCATCTGAGTGTAGACACGACGTAGGATGATATCTTCGAGAGTTTTTAGGGACGCTGGGCATGGTACTCTTTCACCAACCATTTGGCTTTCAATTTAGGCTTATGAGTGCAGTTGGGGCAACAGGGGTTTTTAATAAAACTGTTCTTAGTCGAAATCCCTCAATGTTACGATTCTTCGATCTTCCACACAGAACTCCTGCCAAAATCCCCTTTGGGTTATTCTGACTGATATTTTAATGGTTGTTTTAGGGCTTCTCTCTATGTTCGCCAAGATCCTTGAATTGCAGCTTTTTGACATAATTTTCAATGGGATACCTGTCAAAAAAGCTGCCAATAACTTTAGTGTCGACTTAATTTTGACTATAACTACGGGCCTTTGTTTCCCAGATCTGTTTCCTAGAATGGAAAAATACACCCTAAAACTACGGGCCAAAGTTTCCGCATGTTCAATGTTTATTACTGCGATTAGTTTCCCACAAATAATACATGCAAAAGCTGTTTCCTAATCTATCAAAATAATACTAATTTAAATTAATTGTGGCCTGCTACATTTAGTTCAGTAAATTGTTATTTCCTGCTATTATGGTTGCATTGTTTTTCAATCAAGCCGGTGAATTGGTAGCTATCTATGAAATTAAAAAATTTCTCAAAAACTTGCATTTGTCTATAAATTCCGCCTACAAGAAAAATTTATATTTCCGGCTTGTTTGAATTCTCGCTTAACGACATATAGCTGAAAATTTTTAAGTTATAAGTCATTTTAAGTACCGTCAAGTTATTGTTGAAAATTAGTCATCGGCATGGTTCTCAATTTCCTTTGAAAGCTAACAGAAGGGTTGCTCAGGATGTAAAAGTTGACTTTTTCGCATTGCAGTTAACTAGTATATGTAGCTAAAGTGACAAGCATAAAAGAAAATTTCTTGCTTGGAGGATGAGCAGCCAACTGTTAAAAACGTTATAATAGCTTGTACATAAATAAAAAAAATTTCCTAATTTACACTGAGGAAAACAACGAAGTATCCCTCAAAATTTAAGGCAAAAAGGTATCCAATTGGATACATATGTATCAAAACGGCAACATATGCTTCATAACACGGCAACAATGTTTGTGAAAAGCTTTTCGTTTTTGAGAGATGCTGATTTTTTTTTTTGGCGATTGTTAGTATCTCCTCAGCTGCTGGTGCGATGAACTTTGTGGGTGTGGGAATGCATGATATTACACATGCATTTGCTTCCCCCTGTCTCCCGAGAGCTACTTTGCCACTTACATGTCGCTTGCCAACTCTTTGATTGCTTTGCGAGTTAAAGGCGTGTCCATCCTTGGGTTAAGACATGCTCGAACAAAGTGTATATTCCCTTTGCAAGTGATCCCGGAGTCACCCCGGACCAGTCGCATTTTTTGTCGAAATTAAAAAAAAAAATTATTTGCTATGAATATTTCAATCTTCTAAGCTGCACAACTACTACCACTAAGGTAAATGTGTTGAAAAAAATCAAGTTTGTTTTTTTTTTTTAAATTTTGTCACCGTTGTTTTTTTATACTGCGCATAATACAAATACTTAAAAATTAATACATATATCGCATGTAAATAATTAATGTTATGGGCTTGCGCCTATCAATGTTCATACATATTTATGTACATACAAACACGAGCAAGTAAATATGTATAAACAGCGCTTCATGTGGGTCTTATGAGGGTTATTATTTATCTTAATCAACGCATCGCACTTATAACTAGCAAATTATTTATTATATACGCATTTACAACAAAATATCAATACATATGTATGTATGTAGATATACAGGGAAATGGCTTATATACAAAAGATAACACGCACAAAAGTGATCTTAGAGAACAAGATACAGTACAAATTGTAGAGATGGCGCGCGTGGTAGATATATAGTGAGTGACTGAGTAGCACAGAGATAGTAGAGTTGTAGAGTAGAGTATCGTAGAGCGATGAGGATGAGTTTTGGCTGTATGGTAATGTGGATGATGGGCAAGGTTACTTTTACCGCAGACATTTGACACTTGCGCGCAGCTTCCTTGGAGTTGGGCAGTTACACGGAGTCGCAGTTGAGCGCAGCGCCACGAAGTAGGCAAAGTAGGTACCTGCGAGCGCGTGCCGCACTTAAAAGGTGGGGGATTGTCCTTTTGGAATGTGTGTGTGTTCCTTTGCTGCGCAGAATGTGTCAAAGTCAAGGTTCGTTTTTTTTTTCTTTTATTTTCCAAGCAGTTGGTCACTGACCTGGCTTATGGGTTAGTCACAGCATTTTCGGCATTTTATGCAATTTTCATTTTGTTTTGTTCATTTGTTCAGTTTCTCTTTCGGTTTCGTCATCTGCTTCGCGTTTTTCGTTAGGTCGAATGTCCAAACCAAAAGTAAAAAAAAAAAATATATGTATAAAATAACAACAAATAACGAGTATATTATCGGGTAACAAGACTAGCCGGCAGCTTTAGCTATAAACGTCGCGTAGTTGTCGAATTTCGCCCAGCAGCGATTTCTTTTGGTCCTTCTGCGAATTCCGTCGTAAATTTTCCTATAGATTTTGTTGTTGTTACATTCCTTCTGTTGCACAATTTCAATTAACGCTGTCGCCTTACGTCTACGTCGTTTAGTAGGGTCCAGACTTGCCAGGTGGTCCGTAGTTGGAGGATGGCGCCGAGATGTCACCACCACCACCACCGCCGCCACCAGAGTAACCGCCATCACCACCACCGATGCCGCCGCCAAGGCCACCACCGCCAAGACCACCACCACCGATTCCACCACCAAGACCACCGCCAAGACCACCGCCCAGTCCACCACCGCCGCCGCCGCCAAGTCCGCCACCACCGATGGCACCACCACCGCCGCCGCCGCCGCCTTCCTTCTGGGTCTTGTACTTGATGAAGTACACTTCGGGTTTGGAGGGCTGTGTGGGTGCAGGTGTTGGTATGACAATATCCTGTTGATCTTCGGGCTTCTTGACTAACACATAGACGAGTGTCTTCTCTTCGTTTTGCGGTTGGAGTGGTATGACTGGTGCCTGATAACTGGGTGGAGATGGCGCCTTAATAAAGATGATCTTGTAATGCTTCTGCGCCTGTCCGATGGGAATGTTGGGACGTGGACGCACGTCTTCCTGCTCTGGTGGTGGAACGTGCACGTAAATGTGTTTCTGCACAAGTGTGGTGCCGCCACCACCGCCGCCACCGCCGCCTCCGAATCCGCCAAGGGAACCTGGGAGAATTAGAGAAAGTGAAATGTAGGAACAGTTAAAAAACTGAATGTATTATTTGTGGAGGCCTGCACGGTTAAGATAAGGGTGGTGATTACATTTCGATAACTTTTAAATTAATTAATACGCGATTGCAGTTTCTCAAACTTCTTAGCCAAATAGTTAAGTAAAAATTAGAGCATCATAAATTAAGTAAATCATGACTCGTTTACTCAGGAGCGTTTTGACTATGATATTTAAATAAAAACCATAATTTAGCCATTAAAAATGGACAAAATTTGTTTATCTTATTCAGTTGTTATTCTTAGATTTTAATTTCAATAATTTTTTTTTAACCAAAAAAATATGTATCTCGATTATAATGACTAAGTTTATCTGAGAATTATCGAGCCTTAACCGCCAGACAAAAACGTAAGCGAAATTTTTTTTATTTTAAGTTTTTTTTGGTGCAGAAATTTTATTGGAAATTCGTAATTACTTTTCCTCAAATAGGAGAAAAACTGTAATACTGGCATAAATTTAACTTTAAACTTTAATAACCGTTAAACCAGTAGGTTTATCAAAATATTCTATGAGAAGTTTTTTGTAGGGCGTCTAATTTTCTAATTTTCCAAAGTTGAAAAAAATGGTTGTCTATGTAATTTAAATGGAAAATAGAAATCCGCGCTGCGCTTTTAACAAGCAGCTTTTGATATCGCCCGGAGATATTGAAAAGGGGTTTTTTTGAGAAAATTAAAAAAGATCTTGGTGTTCAAGAATCATACCGGTTACTATATGTATATATAATAAAAATCATAATTTAACCGCTAAAATTGGATTAATATTTTTGCGATTAAAGTTAATCCTTATTTTATGATTTTCATTTCTTCGCTTATCCGTTATTAAACCGTTATTTTAAAATTAAATTTTATAGATCATAAAGGAGTTAAAACCGTCATAAAAATTCTGCCTCCATTAGAGCGATTAAAGTTGATCGAAAAAATAAAAATCCTAAATTAACGAATATTTTTTGAAGGAGAAAATAAAAATCCCAAATTTAAGGAATATTATTGATTTCAAGAAAAAAAAAATTAAAAATAACAATTTGTCAACAATTTAAAAATAAAAATCTTGATATTTTAAAATTATTTTCGGTGCCTTGACGCATATTTGGCGACTAAGTCACGATATGAATAAAAAATAACGGTTATCCTTGATCGAAAAAATTTTGATCAGAAAAATGTTCATTGATAGAAAGCTAAATCATAAACATAGTAAAAATTTTATTGTCGGTGCCTGCTTTTTGTTTGAAAATTTCGATTCGATCATCTTCGGAGATACTCGAACAAGGGGTATTAAGCAAAGTATTTTTATGTATAAATTTATAGTCAAACTGCGATTAGAAAAAATTCGGATTCGTTTGAATTTTTGGTCTTCTATGCACTTGATTTGTTCAGATAAGTCATAAATGAATCACAAATCAAATTATCTTCGTGTGGCACATACTACACTTGATTTTGCTCAAAATGCTTCGCTAAGCCAAAGATCGCGTATTTGGAGCGATCTCCTTTTTTCACTTTTTTACGCACCTCCACCAAATCCACCACCGCCGCCAAGTGAGCCTCCTCCAAAGCCGCCGCCACCGCCGCCAAATCCGCCACCACCGCCAGAACCACCACCAAAACCTCCGCCGCCGCCTAGTCCACCGCCAAGTCCGCCACCAAGTCCACCTCCCAAGCCGCCGCCGCCACCACCGAAACCGCCAGAGCCGCCGCCAAATCCACCAGCGCCGCCACCACCGCCGGGCCTATTGTAGGCATAACCCGCTTCAGGCCTTGCAGCCGCCAACGCTACACAGGATAATAAGATGAACGCTTTCATTGCGACACACGAGCGCGTAAAACGAGCACACAAACACACGAAACGTTCTATAGAAACCGACGAGAAACGGCAAGTACACCTATCGCACTTTACGATCGACGCGCTATTTACACGACTGCTGCTGCTGCTGCTTCCGCTGAAATTTTAATCCTTTAGCACACGTACACGCGCACACACACACACT